GGCGCGGGGCGGGGCGGGCGCAGGACCCCGGCCTCCTTGGCTGCAGCGTCGGCAGCGGCGGCGGCGGCAGAGATAGCGGCGGCAATGCTGTGGCCGCGGTTGGCGGCGGCCGAGTGGACGGCGCTGGCCTGGGAGCTGCTGGGCGCCTCGGTGCTGCTGATCGCGGTGCGCTGGCTGGTGCGGCGGCTGGAGAAGCGGGGACTGGGCCGGAGCAGGTTTCCCGCCCCGCCGCCCCGCGCCCCCCCAGCCCCGGCCCCAGCTCCAGATCCAGGTGAGGCCCGGCGCCTTCGCGGCCCGCGTTCGCCCGGCTTCTCCTCGTCCTTCCCGGTTCCCCGGCCGGCTCAGCCCCGCCGTCCCGGTCTCTGGGCCGGACGGGAGTGGTGGGAAAAAGGTTGGGTGATTGCGTGTTAGGACAGCAGCCAGACCCCCCAGCAGAGGGCCCGGGAGGTGGCGGGAGGCTCCGCAGGCCGACGGGAAGCTGCGACCGTGACAGGACCCATGGGGCGTTAAACGGGAGAGGGACATGCCCGGGATCCCTGGTATAAGTTCTTTCTGCGGCTGTCATGGGAAAGGGCTGTAGGGGATGGAGGAGAGCCAGAGGCCCCGGCGAGGCCGTTACTGCTTTGGGGGCTTGTAATGGGGCGTTGGTGGATGGCAGGAGCGATGGAGAGGCGATTTTGAGTGCAGTTTCTCAAGTTAAGCATATGCTTACCATACGACCCAGCGTTTGTATTCCTAAGTATTTATCCTGGGGAAATGAAAATTTATTTTCACACAAAATCGTATATATCGATGTTCATAGCACCTTTATTTGTAATTGTCAAGAAACGGAACAGCCTAAACGGCCCTTGAGGGGCGAATGATTAAACACCCGTGGTACACCCCTAATAAGGATTCAGCAATGAATTGGGAGGAACTGCTGATACACTCAACAACTGGGACAGATCTCAGGGGCGTTATGTTGAGTAAAAAATATTTTCCAAAATTACTTAGGTTAGTTCTTCTGCGTCCTCTCTTGGTGTGGTTATGCTATTCACTTGTAATCCATTTAGGTTCATTCGTTTTGGTATTCCGTTTGGGAGTCGCCCCTCCCCCTTGTTGATTTTGTCTATGTACTTATTTTTTGAGTATGTAAATCACAACTATGATTCTAAGTCAGGACCGTATAAAAAGTTATACTCCGAAGTGTCACTTTCTCCTCCCCCAGTCCCTTCTCTCCCATTCATGTTTTCCTGTTCTTTCCATCCACTTCCCACCCACCCCATACAGGTAACCAGTCTTTTTCTGCTTATGCTTTTTTTCTGTGTGCACAAATGAGCAGGTACTTGTGTATTTTATTTCCCCTTCTCTCCATTCATGATAGGAGCATACTCTTTTTGCACTTTGCTTATTTCATTAGATTGCGTTTTAAAACATTAACACCTGGTCTAAATCAATAGGTTTACTATTAGTAACAGAGCGTACATTTTTGTTATTAAAACTGACTTTGTAGCATATTATGTATTTATTCTGAGAGTGATTAATAAGCCTATATTCCTTGATAGCTGTAGCTGACATTGAGAAATTTTCAGTATCGCAGATAGCATACAGACTTCACATACTTTATTTTTTCTTATTCTCCTTGCAGCTCTAAGAAGTAGAGCCATTATTATGTTCATTTTATAGATGAGGAAACTGAGGCTTAGAGTTTAAACAGTTTACCTAAGGTCACACAGTTAGTTATGTAATTGTAATGAAATATAATTGTTCTTTTCAGGGCTTGCTTGATTGCAAGGACAAAAACTCCCTCGTACTAGCCCTAGTTTAAGGTAGCTTAAGGGTAAGGAATCAGAGATCTTATGAAAAATGCGATATTGTCTGGAACTGATATAGTTCCTCTCTCTTTATTCATAGTGTCTGTTCCTATCATCCTCAGTCCTCATACTTTTGTCCTGCATGTGGCTTTGTCTTGCCATGTTCCTGCTCCAATCTAGATTTGTTACCACCTTTTTTTTTTTATCAGTTCGTTATCACCAAACCATCTCTGTTGCTCTTAATATCAGTGTATACAGAGAGAATCTGGTTAGGTGTCCATCCCTGTGCAGTATCCTATGGTCAGTAGGCCTCCCCTTTCAAGTTCCTTGGCAGCTTCAGAGTGGGCTGTGTAATACGTTCGTTGTTTAAAAGACTGATCTTTTTGTGAATAAGCAATAATCATTCTTGAAATCTTAGAGTTGGGGGTATATGGAGAAGGCACAGGGTGGATGGGTATGACGTTGATGAGCCTTGGTGGAAGCCAACAATTGGGGGCTTTATCCTGAAGTGTTGGTAGTCATGGAAGAATTTTAGGAAGAGAAAAAGGCAGAGGTTTGTGTTTTTAAAGACTTCCCATGGCTCTAGCATAGAGAGTATAGGCTGATAACCATTAAGTGGTCATTTCTGTACATCATCCACATTTTTTAAAGAGGGTTAATTGTAAAGTCTTCCAAGATCTGAATGTCTGTTAGCAACTAAGATAAAAAAAACGTTGCCGTCGAGTCGATTTCGACTCATAGCGACCCTATAGGACAGAGTAGAACTCCCCCATTGAGTTTCCAAGTACAGCTAAGATTGGGTGTTTAATTTTCACCTTGTCTCTGGTTGCCTGTGTTTATCCGTTTATGTAGAAAGTTAGATTACTCTACAATTTGGAATTTCTTTGTTGAAGCATATTAGAAATTCCAGTATACCAAAAGGGTTTTATTGTTGTTGTTATTCTTAAATTAACTTTATTGGGGTATAATTTACATTCAATAAAGTGTATAGTTCAGTGAGTTTTGAGAAATCTATACACTCATGTTAAACCCCCCTCCTCAATTAAAGTATAGAACATTTCCATCGTCCCAGAAAGTTCCTTTGTATTCCTTTGCACTTGTCTTCATTTGCTGTCTCACTACATTTCCCCTTTTATTTCTTTAACTGACTGGCCTACCATCTACTTCCAACACTCACTGTTGCCTAGATCCTATTGTGAAATCCAGAGGCAACTTTCTTGAAAGCTTTATTGAGGTTTAATTGACATATAAACTGCAAATATTTAAAGTATCCAATTTGACGTTTGACATATCCTATTATCTATTGCTGTGTAACAAATTACCCCAACACTTGGCAAGTTTGAACAACAAACATTTGTTACCTCACACAGCTTCTGATGATCAGGAATCTGGGAGCGGCTCAGCTGGATGGCTCTGGCTCAGGGTCTCTCACAAGGTTGCAGTGAAGCTGTTGGCTGGGGCTGCAGCCATCAGGGCTCAGCAAAGGCTGGAGAATCTGCCTCCATGCTCATACACAGAATTCTTGGCCTGCCTTGGTTTTGTGCTAGTTGTTGGCTGAGGCTTCAGTTTCTTTTCATCTGGGCCTCTACTAGGCTGCTCACAACATGGCAGCTGGCTTCCCCCAGAGTAGATGATCTGAGAGAGTGTGTCCAAGATGGAACAGTCTTTATAACCTCATCTTGGAAGTGACATACCATCCCTTTTGCCAGACACTGTTGGTCACACAGAACAGCCCCAGTGCAGTGTGGGAGGCGACTACATTCAGCTGTGAATACCTGGAGGTCTTTTTGAATGCTGACTACCACACATGTGTACGCTCATGAAACCATTACCACAGTGAAGACACACATCCATCCCCCTAAAGCTTTTATCCTGCCTGTTTGTAAACCCTCTCTCCTGCCCCACTCCTTTTCTCCAAGTAGTCACCCATCTGCTCTCTGTCATTGTAGATTAGTTTGGATTTTCTAGAATCGTATATAAATGGAATCATACAGTATATACCCATGTACTCTTTTTTTTGTCTGTCTTCTTTTACTCAATGTAATTATCTTGAATTCATCCATGTTGAATGTATCAATAATTCATTCCTTTTTGTTGCTGAGTAACATTCCATTGTAGGGATATTCCAGTTTTGGGCTATAACAAATAAATCAGCTATGAACGTATACACTTACCCTTTAATTTCTTTTTGGTAAATATTTTAGGAGTGCAATAGTTTGATCAAATAGTAGGTGTATGTTTAACTTTTTAAGATGTTGCCAAACTGTTTTCCAGTGTGGTTGTACTATTTTCCATTCCCTCCAGTAGTTTGTGAGGGTTCTAGTTCTTCTATAACCGCATCATCAGCACTTGGTATGGTCAGTCTTTTTAATTTTTGCCATTCTAATAAATATGAAATGGTATCATTGTTGTTTTAATTTGCATTCCTCTAACGGCAGATGATGTTGAGCATCTTTTTGTGTGCTTATTTGCATCTATATTTTTTCCTTTGGTGAAGTATCAGTTCAATTCTTTTGTTCACCTTTTGGGGAGTTGTTTGTTTTCTCATATTTGAGTTTTGAGCATTCTTTATATATTTTGAATCCAAGCCCTTTATCAGATATGTGATTTGCAGATATTTTCTTTCAGTCTGTGGCTTGTCTTTTCATTCTCGTAACAGTGTTTATTGGAGAGCAGAAGTTTTTAATTCCGATGAAGTCCAAATTGTCAGTGTTATAGAATAGTGTTTTTGGTGTCATATATGTGAAATATTTGCCTAACTCAAGGTGAAAAAGAGTTTCTCCTGATTTCCTCTAGAATTTTTATAGTTGTTGGCTTTACAGTTAGGTCTGTGATCCATTCCAAGTTAATTTTTGTTGTATACGGTACAATATGGATCAAAGTTCTCTTTTTTTTTTTTTGCATGTGGATATTCCAATTATCTTAGCACCATTTGTTGAAAATACTGGCCGTTTGCTACTAAATTGCCTTTGCACCTTTATTGAAACTCAGTTGTCCATATATGTGTGGGTCTATTTCTGGACTCAATTCTGTTCCATTGATTTGTCTATCTTGGAGCCAGTACCACACTGTCTTGATTACAGTAGACTTTGAAATTGGGTGGTATGATGAGTTCTCCAACTTTGTTCTTTTTCTAACCTGTTTTGGCTATTCCAGGTCCTTTCTACAAAAAAAAAAAAAAAAGCCTGTTGGAATTTTCATTGGGATTATGTTGAATATATAGATCAGTTTGGGGAGAATTGCCATTTTAACAATATTGAGTCTTTCTTGTTACAAACATGATATATCTCGAGGACACCTTTTAGACTTTATTTCACTGGACTGCTGTGTGATTTTTGACATGTTTGCACTTTCTCTTTTCCCATTATAAAAAATTGAAATAAAAAAAGAAATTCACAGAAATAGAATAAATACAGTGAGCCCCACATACTTATCTTGTTTTATCTGTCACCACTCCCTTTTTGCACTCTTGCTGGAATAATTTAAAGCAAATCCTGGACATCATACCATTTGATCTGTAAATGCTTCCTACAACCCTCTACTCCTTGATTTCAGTGATAATATCTCTGCCTTATTATTGATCTACTCTATGGGTTTTGTTTTTCCTCTTCATGTCTTCAGCCCTTGATAGTACTCAGATTCCTTTTTAGTTAGGCTCACTGTCCTTTTGTGTGTTCCTGTTATCCCTGGTTTTGTCTCTTGGCTTCATAACCTCATCTGTGTGCTTTCTTAGGTGTTGTTGAGTCGATTCCAACTCACAGTGACCCTATGTACAACAGAACAAAACCCTGCCCGGTCCTGCCATCCTCACAGTCAATGCTATGTTTGAGCCCATTTTTGCAGCCACTGTGTCAATCTGTCTTGTTGAGGGTCTTCCTCTTTTTCGCTGACCCTCTACTTTACCAAGCATGATGTCCTTCTCCAGGAACTGGTCCCTCCTGATAACATGTCCAAAGTATGTGAGATGAAGTCTTGCCGTCCTTGCTTCCTAGCAGCATTCCAGCTGTACTTCTTCCAAGACAGATTTGTTTGTTCTATATGCTGATGACTCCCAGATCTGTTTTTCCCACACTGAACTTCTGTCCTCTACACCTCAGATTTGAAAGTTAAACTGCCTGCTTGGTGTGTAATAGATGTTTCTGATGCCCAATGCCTAAATCTGGAAAAAAAGAATTCCTTCTATTTGTTCTATCTCTAATATTCTCTGCTTTAGGTAGAACCACCTCTTAGGCATCTAAACTGGAAATCTAGGGATTATCCTAGGCTTTTTTCAATCTCTCAAACCACTTCCCCATGGTATCTAATTAGTCCATCATTAATACAGCCTATTTCTTGAATCTGATCCCTCTTCTCCATTCCCATGAGTGCTAAAATTTAGTCTGTGACCTGTCATTTCTTACCTTCTCCCCCCTAAATCCAACTGGCCACACTTAAATCTATACTCCATAGATTGTTTCTCCAAATCTGTTAATTAAAGCTGCAGCTCAGGCTCAAATCCACTTGTTTGTCAGCTTTTAACTTGTTTGTTATAACTTAACCACTTGTTTATTAGTTTGTTATAACTTGGGCCTCCTCCTCTCTCTGCTTTGGGTTCTTCATCTGTAAAATGGGGGTAACAGTGGTAATACCACATGAAGTTATTGTAACCATTAAATGGCTTAATTTATGTGGAATGCTTAGAGTAGCACCAGGCACATGGGAAGCCCCCAGAATTCAAATGTTATTAGTATTAGCAGAATGACCGTCAGAGCTATCTGTCTGGCTCCTCTGTTTGAAATCCTTGCACAGTTTCCCATGGCTTATTGAATGAAGCGCAACTGTGTCAGTAGGCTAAATTTCTAGAGTTGGAATTTTTATAGTTATTGTCAAATAGACTTCCATCGGGTTTGTTCCAGATTACACTGTAAAAAGCAACAAATGGATGTGTCTTTTTCTCCAGTACTCTTTCACCTGCTTAGAATGTTAATGTGGTAGTAATGTGTGATAGTACTAGGTAGAAGAGTCTTATTGAAATGAACCAGAACATGCTTATCTTAATTTTGTTTAGGTTATTATAGATATGGAAACAAAATTTATAAAAAATTTTGTAGAGAATCCATAGACTCCAAAGAATATGGAGAAACACTGGATTAAAATGAAACTTTGAAGCCAGTTTTTTGCCACTTTTTTTTTTTTTTTTTTTTTGTAAATAAAACAAGCCATGCTTCTAGCACTCCAATTAATTTTTGTTTTCTCGGGCCTAGGTGAAATGACAATGGATGCCATCTTGGCTCGATTGAAACTCCTGAATTCAGATGACCTTCGAGAAGAAATTGTCAAAGCTGGACTGAAATGTGGACCCATAACATCGACCACAAGGTTCATTTTTGAAAAAAAATTGGCTCAGGCTTTATTAGAACAAGGAAGAGCCTTGACTTCCTCTCCTCCTAACCAAGATGTGGCAGGCATTACAGCTCTCAGCCAGGAAACACAAAGGATTTTAAAATTTGCTGTAGGGAATGCAACTGAGCAGGCCAGTTTTTCTGAAGACAAAGATTTTGGCTATAGCGTGGGCTTGAATCCTCCCGAGGAAGACGCGGTAACGCCCAAGACCTGCTCAGCGTCTTTCAGTGCCCCGGTGGAGGTTGACACCCACAGAGCTGCTGTGGCCGCCTCTAAAGAGCCTCTTCTGTTCTATGGAGTGTGCCCAGTGTATGAGGACATCCCAGCGAAAAATGGTAATGCAACAGTGCTTAGTGTTTCTTTACACAGATGATACATGTGACTGCAGATGCATTTGGACTCATCCCTGCTGTCTAATTTTCTGTTCTCTTGCTGTACTTTCTATTTGTTTTCTTTATTTCCCCTTTGATGGTTTGGTCAAGTTTTCTTGGTTCCTTTTTTTTTTTTTGTACTAATGGTTTAGACATGATACGTTTTATTTCTCTTCTTTTCTGGATAACCTTTAACATTTTGACCCACATTTGACTCTGCGTTTTCACAGCACCTTTTGATAACCTAGTTAATAATCAGTATCCATATCCCTCTTTGGAGTCCTGGATAGTACACCTCTGACACACACGGGGTTGCCATGAGTCAGAGTCAGCTTGATGGCAACTGGTTTAGATCCTTCTCCGGAGGTGGTGGTGGGTAGTTCAGTGGTGGAATTCTCGCTTTCCAGGTAGAAGACCTGCATTCACTTCCTGGCCAGTGTACTTCATGCGCAGCCACCACCTATCTGTCAGTGGAGGCTTGTGTGTTGCTATGATGTTGAACAGGTTTCAGCAGAGCTTCAGACTAAGACTAGGAAGAAAGACCTGGCGATCTACTTCTGAAAATCAGCCAGTGAAAAGCTCGTGGATCATGGGGTGTGTGTGAGGTCGCCATGCATTGAAGGCCAACTCGACAGCAGCTAACAACAACAATGTATCCCTCTTCACACCCTCACACCTTACCCTTCTCCTCATCTTATCCTATGGTGATAAACTTTGGACCCAAATACCAGATGATTAATTCGTTTTTGCAAACAGCACTTACCTAGACTTAGAATTATATTTTACCCCCTTTTTTAGTTGAGAAATATAACACACCTGCAGAAAAAGTGCATAAAACTTAGATTACATATAATAAATCCTTACAAAGTGAATACCCCACGTAACCACCATAAGAGCTGTGAAGATAGAACATTGCCAACACCCTAGAAAATGTTAAAAGTCTTTGGACACAACATCAACCGACAGAATAAGGTTGAGGAATCACAGTCATGCATCGCTTAACATCCATGATACGTTCTTTGAACGTTATTTGGACGTTGTATGAACACGGTATTATATACAGGCAGTCCCCGGATTACAAACGTCTGACTTTTAGGTATGGCCCGTAGTTATGAACCAACTCCAGTAAAGCCTATTATATTAAAAATTTGAGGTTCATACAGTGGCTCATTATAATAGACAGGCACCTGGCAATGCAATCACTTTGTATACAAGAGACGTGAGATACACGTGTTGCATATGGGAAGCTGTTGCATTCGCTACATCCCATTTTCCGATAGGAATTTCTGAATTTATGGGACCACAGACATATATGCAGTTGGATCTTGCCCGAGTGGACAGTATATGGTACATGAGTGTAAGTTGAATTGTTACATTCTGCTTTCATTAATAAATACTTTAAAATATCTTTTGAACTTATTTGCCACCTCTATCTTTTGTGATGTCTATTCAGATACTTTGCTTGTCATATTTGGCGTGTTTTATGAAAACAGAATGTTGCCAACACCCAGAAGATGTTCAAAGTCTTTGGACACAAACCTACGACTTGTTGATACTTACTGGTAAAAGACCAAATGCTTACCCCTAAGGTCAGGAACTGGGCAGGGATGTCCACTGTCACCACTTCTTCAGCATCATACAGGAGATGCTAGCGCTACAGTGTAATATAGCAAGCAGAGAATTAATGATTTCTGTTACTTTTCCCACACAGAAAGGATTCATGTTTATGAGGATAAAAAGGAAGCCTTGCAGGCTGTCAAAATGATCAAGGGATCTCGATTTAAAGCTTTTTCAAGCAGAGAAGATGCTGAAAAATTTGCTAGAGGAATTTGTGATTATTTCCCTTCTCCAAGCAAAACCTCATTACCACTTTCTCCTGTGAAAGTAGCACCAGCCTTTAGCAATGGTGGCTTAAAAGGTAAATTCAATATCAATTCATATGTTGGCATTACTTTCAGTTTTACCCAAGAATGTTCTCTGCCCTCTTACCTGATACATTGTGGCTAGTTTTCTCTGTCTGCATTAAGTCTGATTTGCCAGGAAGTAGAGCCTTGAGGTCCAGGTCTTGGACCAGCCGTGGAGAAGGGGTACAGGCTGGCCTGGGGCAGGTTGGTGCTGTAAGGTAAGGAGAAGATCAGGGCAGGGGAGGCAGGGTGTACAGGCAGTTGGGACCCAGAGTCAGCCAGGCTCTCCTTGGAGGCCCTGACGCTGAGGAGCCAGGACTTGCATCGGGCCTGTGGGTGACCATTGCCCCTTCTATTCCGTTCCTTTCTCTGACCTCCTCCCTGCTGCCTCTTAGCTCGAGATCCTTTGTAGATAGCGAGACCAGCCCTCTTCCTACCTGAGCGCATCTGCTCTTACTGGATCCCTCCTGCTCAGGGGTCCTGAAAAAGTCAGATTCACTTGCAGGAGCCTTGCAGCTGGAATCTGACCATGTTCCTACCCTGTAAAAACATCATAGGAGTGGTGTCTGACCTCCTGTAACTTCACAAGGGGGAAGGAGAATCAAGATCAACAGCCCAAGGCTGATTCCTATGAGGCAGAGTTCAGCCATGCCTCCTCTCTCTGCCATCTTTACCAGTTCTGACACCAACAGTCCCTCCCACAGCACTCTCTACTTCTCTGCTGGGTTTAATAATTCATTGTAACGGCCCCACAGGACTCACAGACAATACTTACAATTATGGGGTTTATTAGGGAAATCAAAAAACAAAAAAAACCAAACCCATTGCTGTTGAGTCGATTCCAACTCACAGCAACCCTGTAGGACAGAGTAGAACTGCCCCATAGGGTTTCCAGGGAGTGGCTGGTGGATTTGAACTGCCAACCTTTTGGTTAGCAGCCAAATGCTTAACCACTGTGCCACCAGGGCCCCATTAGGGAAGTAACAGGTTCTAATGCAGGTTCGGGAATGCTCAGGATACAGTTCTTCCATCAGGACAGCCTCTTCCCAGCCGTGCTTACAGGCACGCCTCTCCCTGGCCCTCGGCCTCTGCCCAAAGGCCCTCAGCTTTCTCGATTCATGGGCTGGGAAGCCCACTGCACCGTCTTCTGCCGGTGTCTCCTTTCTTGGTGGTGGTGGGATCCTCTCTCTGCTCAGGAATTGGCTCTCTTTTAAACCTAGCAGGATGGCAAAACTGACCAGTCCCCTTGGTGGACTGCAGTTACCTTATTTGCATAGTCCCACCCAGTGACTGAGTTACAAGACCGTGGTGAGAAAGTCCACACAAAATCGATCCATCACACCGTGTGCCCCGATTCTATAACCAGCAGCCCTGCTCTGCACGGCCTTGCTCTTTTGGCTTTTTGCAGAGCCCCAACTGTCTTATTATGCTCAGGCCGAGGTTCTCATCCAGCAGTCCTGGCCCCCCTAAACTGGCTTGATTCCCGGGGCCACTGCCCTCTGCATCCAGACACCATTCTCCCATTGAGAATCCTATCTGTCTCCCCTCTCCTGCCCCACGCAGCCTTACACAGTGCTTAGGTGGAAACCAATGGTGTAAAACCCTTAGTTACGGATTTCCCTCTTCTGGGTTTGTGGAAATTCCCCTGAAGAAAGTCTCTAGAGATTTCTTCAGGTATTGTAATTAAACAGTGGAAATCACTTTGGAGTATTTGCCTTTTTGGGAATCTTCCATTCACTCCAAAGGCCATATGTGTTTGCTGGCAGTGTTCCCTGGCCAGGACTGCCCTTACCCCTGCTCCACCATGGAAAGCCTACTTACTGTTGAGATTCACCCGCGGTGCCGCATTCACAAAGCCATGCCAGCTAGTCTCCAGTCATAGTCAGTCGCTCTCTCACTTGTGTGTTTATCACAGTGAGCCTGTGTCCCTCTAGTAGAGGAGGACGATGTCACTTGCTCTTTATTGTAATTGTTCCTTATGTACTACTCTCAGCTAGCTCGTGGGCCTCCGGGAGAGCTTTTACCACTCAGGTCCAGCAGGTAGTGGGTGATGTGAAAGTGTGCGTGAGATTCAGTGTCCTTACATTGTATCTCTCAATGACAGATGGTTTATACTTATCAGAGTCGGAAACAGTCAACAAAGAGCGAGCAAACAGTTACAAAAATCCTCGTACACAGGACCTCACAGCCAAACTGCGAAAAGCTGTGGAGAAGGGAGAAGCAGACACCTTTTCCGACCTTGTCTGGAGTAACCCCCGGTATCTAATCGGTTCAGGGGACAATCCCACCATCGTACAGGTAAGCCTGACGGCAGCAGGGTCATCAAGTAGACTCAGTCATTGTGGTCGCTGTGCTCATGACAGATGGAGAAAGGAAGCTCAGAACAGGTAGTTTTCTTCCAGGAAGGATGTCGGTACAATGTCATGCACGTTGCTGCCAAGGAGAACCAGGCTTCTCTCTGCCAGCTGACCTTGGAGACCCTGGAGAACCCCGAGTTCATGCGGCTCATGTACCCGGATGACGATGAGAGCATGCTACGGAAGCGCATCTGCTATATCCTCGACCTGTATCTGAACACGCCCGACAAGATGGTGAGTGTACGCCTCTGTTCTCTTCTCAGCAGAGACGGCCTGTGCCGAGTGTACTGAGTGTGTGCCAGGTGCCTGCACTGGGCATCAGTGTGCAGGGCAGGTGGAGGACTCAGTACTGAGTGTGTGCCAGGT